GTTAAATAAAATTTATAGTACAAAACGGATTTTAAACTTTATTAAAATAAGTTACAATATCTGGTAACCCAGGCTCCAAATCAAAATCTTGCAAGAATAAGAAAAGTTAGAATAAAAGCCGCTTTATCTAAGAAAATATATGTTTTTACCATAGGCGTGCGTATGAAAAAGTTGGGGGGGTCATAATGCACTTTAACCCCCTCACCTCCGCTCGTGCTTTGATTTTTTTTACCAAAAGTATACTGAAAGTGTGTCTCTACAAGAAAAAAATATTAGCGAAATTTCAAACAAATATCTCTAATTCTACCGGAGTTATCGACAAATTTCGTTTTTGAAATTTACATTTTGACACCCTGTATTTCAAAAATGGGGCTCCTAAATGAAAAGTGGCATAATGAAAGTCCCATTATTTTCATATCAGCTATCTATGGTTAACGGATTGACCTACTAATTTTCGGCACCCTGTATAAAAATACATAATAAATATTATATTATATTATATTATTAATATATTTATAAGATAGGTAGATTTTATGTAGTTTGCATGGGAATAAAAATAGTAATAAAAATTTTGAATTTGATTATAAAATCTTTGAAACCTGTGACATAAACGGTTTCATCCAATTAAACACAAACTACTTTTTCTTATTTACTATTCTTATTGTACAAAAACATCAAAACTTTCGCTACAAACGTACTTTAAAGAAGCTTTACACGTTATTGAAACGTAACCTTTGCATTTTCACTCCTCTCATCTCAGCACTGATAAAGTCCTGATTTTTATTAAAAAAAATCCATAACCAAACCTATTTCTGGCAAATTAAAATAATCTGCTTTTACGAAATTTGCTTCCATTTTTTAAATTTAATATGCACAAACGCTAAAACATTCTGTAGATGCAGACACTCTGGATCTGAAAGTATAGCGGCAGTAGCGCCAAGCTACATATATGGAAGCAGACTTTTTGTTTTAATAAAGTTCAATGGTATTAATATTGAAATTTATAGATTTTCCATTAATTAGAAAAAATGTTTTATTTTTTGTTGTACAAAAGTACTCATAGTACTGCCATTTTGCTTTTAGAAAGCTTTGTTACTACAAACATATTTCCACACCAATCATAATAATAATAATAATAATAATAATATATTTTCTAATAGACAGTTTTACACTGTATAAGAATTTGTCACACATAACTTATAACCTAAATTAAATAAATTAACAACACACTAGATCACATATAGTTCACATAAAAAAAAACAAAATCGCAGTCCATTAAAATCTAAAGTACTCATCCAAAGAATACGGACACATATCAATTAGGTACGCTTTTAGTTTTTTTTTAAAAGTTCAACAGTACAACAGGTCTTTACATTATTAGGTAATTTATTAAATACCTTAAGGCCCAGACAGTTTGGTGATTTCATGGAGCTGCAGTCTCATAAATGGTATGTGGTATTCATTTTTTGTCGTGTATTGATTTCATGAATTTCCATGTTGGTATAAAATTTAGATTTATTGTTAAATACATAATTACACAATGCAAATATGAAAAGACCAGGTAGAGTTAGAATAAAATAGTTTTTAAAAAACTCTACTTGAATGTGAACTGGAAACATTAAAAATACATCTTAGTACCTTTTTTTGACATATAAACACATCAGAAGACATAATAGACCCACCCCAGAAATAGACACCATAATTTATTCTACTGCCAACCTGTGCATGATACAGATTTATAAGTTGCTTAGTTACAAGCACAGTACGCAAATTTCGGAATAAATAACAGATTGAATTCAGTTTTGAACAGAGATTTGAACAGTGAGGCTTCCAGGATAAATTACTGTCAAATTCAATTCCCAGAAATTTAACCTGTATCTCATTATTAATGGAAATGTCATTTATATTTAGGTTTAATTTAGTAGTTGCATGTTGACGATTATGAAATGAGACCGCATGAGTCTTTGTCACATTAAAGTAAAGATTATTTTGACAGAAGCATGTATATAATTTATCAAGTATAACATTACATTTGGTCTCTATATCATAAGAAGACTTATCAGAAATTAAAAGGGAAGTATCGTCGGCATATATAGTAAAATGAATATTAGAAGCAATGGTGGTTATATACAACAGGAACAACATAGGACCCAGCACGGAACCCTGTGGTACACCCATGGTTATAGTATGTGTTCCAGAATCTATGTGTTGAACACCAGAAGAATCTTTATGTTTAAGACTAACATATTGACTCCGGTTATTCAAAAATGAACGTATCCAATCTAATGAAATTCCACGTAATCCATAAATTGATAATTTTTTAAATAATATACTGGGGTCGACGCAGTCGAAACCCCTGCTAAGGTCACAAAAGATCCCAGCAGGGCATTCGCCCGCCTCCATAGACTCTAGCACAGCCTCATAAAATAAGTGAATAGCACTACTAGTTGATTTTCCCGATTGAAAGCCATGTTGATGTTCTGTTATAATTTTTTGCTTATTCATAAAAGATATATATAAGTCTGTTCAAAAAGGAATATTCAAAAATTTTTGAAAACGGTGATGAAACCGATATTGGTTTGTAATTATTTAATGAAAAGGGATCGCCTTTTTTATAAACGGGCGTGACTTTCCCGAGTTTCAGTTTTGATGGAAAACAGCCGCTTTCAAACGATAAGTTTATTAAAAAAAACAGAGGTTTTATAATGCTGGGACACAATTTTTTGAATACATCTAGCGGGATATCATCTGGACCAGTGGACCACTTGTTTTTTAATTTATTTTTTACTATACTAAGAAGTTCATTAATATCTAAGGGATCCAAAAACATAGTTGGGCAAGATGTCAAATTAACTACAAAATTATTAAAATCTTTATCACTATTATTATCGTTGGCAATATTTTGTACATGAAGTACTGTTGGTAACTAGAACCCTATTTCTCATATGAAAAAATTAATGAATAAAAGTAAATATTTCCAAAAGCAACAGATAAAATAGTGGATAAAAAATAAAACCAGTCTCCCATGCCATACCAATGCTTATATAGCAAGCCAGTTTGCAAATAATTCAAGGGCGATATCATTGGTTACATAAGCAAAATATACTCAAAGGCACCATTACCGTAGCTTTTAAAACCAATGGCCGTACCTTATTAGTACTGTCACAATCGCTGTCAACACTGCCGTTACTGTCAATGTCACTATTGCCAATGCTGATTATAATTTGGTTGGCTTCGATTGTATCTAAGTTCCGCATATTCCATTCTTCCTTACGGACAAGATTTATATACCTTATTTGCCAATTTTCTGTGCCAATGTTTAAAAATTTCTCTTTTAAGAAATAGTTCGACATCAGCCAATTTAAATTTTCTATTTTTTTTTGGCATTATCTTCTTTTATTTGTGCCCACATTAATTCAATTGGATTTAGTTCACAATGATAAGGAGGTAGTCTTAATACTGTCATTGCGCGAGTGGATGACATCTCATCCGCAATAAAATTTTGCTTGTTTTTAACTTTTATACTTCTCCATGTGTTTTTTTCTTCAAAAATTTGATTTTGGAATACCAGTACAATCCGAAAATTTTTTCACGTGGGTGATTTCTTTGAGGGTACCTAAAAACTGCACTATACATGTAGATTATCATTATTATAAAAAAAATCAAGTACATAAACACACTCGACTCCTAGCAGCTTATATTGTACCTTGTTATACTGTTGTTGTGCTGTCACTACTTCATATTTAGCAATTACAGAAACACTTAGGTATTTCATTAGCGTATCTTATAAACTCAATGATTTCATATAAATCAATACACCACTTACAAAATAATCAATACAACCGAATTTGTGCATTAAGGCTAGCGTTTTATAGACAAGAAATCGCAGTTTTAGTAAAACAATGATAGAACAAATAGATCCATCTAGAAAGTGACGAAGATATCCAGAAGAAAACTTATACATATAACGCGTACAGTGAAGAGATATTGTTTCAACCTCCTTACAATTTTTAAAATGCTGGACAAAAAATGCGTTTTTGAACGCATAACTTTAACTTAACCCTTAGGAGCGAGCGTGAATAATCATACGGGCACTAATGAAGTCACAATCATGCCAAATACACTCCACGCAAAGAAGCGAAAGAGATAAGACTATACGTATGCATATATGTGAGACAAGGATAAACAGCACCTCTCTGAAGTTCGATGACAGCGGGTCAGTAATAAAAAAATGTTTTTATTATTTTATTGCATGTTATTCAATAAAATGAAATAAAAAACAAACTAAAACATTAAACTTTTTCTTTGTAAAAATCACTTAAATGCTTTTCGTACGTAAAACACGAAATAAATTATAAAACTAACACAATTCTTAATTACATGGGAAATATAGGAACTCGATATGACATTATTCGACAATTAGACCTCCTCATAGCTCATTCATCTCTTAAACATTTTTAAATAGACTATAGTTAAAGCACAGAAGATACACTGTTTTATCTTCTGTGGTTAAAGCACTAATAAATTTTCATTTTACGTCAGACATCATCAAAGATATTTCAAAAACTTTTTTAACACTATATGCCGATAACTGAACCATTCAGGACATATATTTTAGTAATATTTACTCAAATATATACATTCTTCACTTTTTCGGATAAATATTTGTAGTTAATTTATAAATTAGTCAAAATTAATAACGAAACCGTTAAATTTAGCCAGTCCATCTATGTAACTTTCATTTTTCTCTCATGGTGTTATTTGGAAGACGAAAGTTGTTGGAAAATAAAAATTGTTTGCACGAGAAAGGCAATAAATTTGTCTCATCCCAGTCGTAAAAACTTGAAACCCATGCGAGATAAAATAAATGCATTATTACCGGTGTCCAAGTTTCGACCGCAGGCCCCCTCGAAAACCCGTAGTGGGACTGTTCGGCCGGCATATTTGGAGAATGGTGTCGCGAACGGATCGCCCAAGACCGGTGGACTCGACATCCAACATTCACCAGCTGTTGGTGAGGAACTTAGACCGTTGAATCTGCGCTCTGATACCGACCGATTGAGCTTAACGTGAGTTTGATTCGTGTGTTGTTTTTGTGTCGGATCTAAGAAAATACTTATACAGGGTGTTGTGGGTGGACTGTACCTTTTGCGAATGCGTCTTCGTCTGAGGCAGGGTTTACCATCAAATTTCAAGCAATAGGTAAATACAAGATTAATTTATGTTTTCGTATCGTGTTCTAGTTAAGATTTTGTTTGTGAAAGCTTGCAAAATTGGTAATTTTGCAAGTTTCCTTTTTATTGATGGACGAAGGATGTAAATGTAAAGGCATAATAATTAGTTTCCTGTGTCTTGGTATTTTGTGAATTGTTAAGGTCATCTTTCGTTAAATCAGTTGAAATAAAAATTAANAAAACAAATTCAAAATTATCAAGCATTTCGTCCTGTATTTTTCTTTCAATACTTGTAAATTTTCAGGTAAAAAAAAGTGTCTAAAGGACTGACAATGAGATCGGGGCTGTTTTCTGGCCACCTAAGGTTTCTAATAATATTTTTTAGTGTTCGTTGACGGGATTCTTCCTCTAAAGTAAATTTGCCAATATTCTTGAAGAACTTTTGCACATTATTGTTATTTGAATAATGCAGTTAATTATGTTTTATTTTTCGTCACCAGAATAACCCATTGTAATTTTTTTAATTTTTTAAATTAAAATGTTTCTGTCGTTTTTGTCTGCTTGTGTGCGAGAGAGATAGAGTTATAGTGTGCGATAGAGATAGAGTGACTCTGTCCTCATAGAGATAGAGTAACTCTGTCCTCATAGAGAGCTTATCTCTCTCTCCCTCTCTGCTGGCTTCAGGAGTCTCCCCAGCAATATCAGGACACCTAGGGAGGGAGCCTGGGGTAGAGGGCGTGGCCTTTTTACCCTTCATTATCGATCTATGATGTCACACAGTATAACAAAAAAAAACGCTTTTTGCTCGTAACTCGGAAATGGCTGGAAATATAAACAAATTTCCCTTTGGTTCTGAGTAGAGCACTCGGTGGTGAACCAGTGAAAAACGTCAAAATCCGCATGTCAAAAAAAAAAAATCGGGAGCAATGGTGTGTGACACCATAGGATAAAAAAGTGTTTATAACTCGGAAACGGTGCGTTGAATCGAAAAAAAATGTCAACCCCCTCCCTCCCGGGTTCTATATATTCCTTCTGCGTTGAATGTCCGAAGTCCGTATGTCGCAAATAAATTTTGGAAACAAAAGGTATGTCGTGTTATAGTAAATAGGCCGGATAACTCGGAAACGGTGCGTTAAATCGAAAAAATAATTGAAAAATTCTCCCCACACTCCTGGTTCTGCGTTGAATGGAAAAGGTCCGAAGTCCGTATGTCGAAAAACAAAAAAGTTAGTCAAAAATTGCAACAGCAGTAGCGAACGCATTATATTATCTCTGTATTGATTGATGATGTGTTGTTTTTTTTAAATAAATTTCGTATTCAACTACTCCTTGAGGTTCCAGCAATTTTACATTGTGTTAATTTTTTTGAACACCTTGTGTCACAAATATGAGCACTACCAATGACATCCATGATATGCAACACTTGTGTCAATAATTATTTTACCTATCTAAAGAAATCAACAATAAGAGGCAGTACCCATCTAAGGATACACAACCTGTATAATGCAATTTTTTTAAACATAGGTGTTAATATCGTACCATATTGGAAGTCGACGCACAAATCTAAAAACATTAATTTCGAGTTTTTGAATTTTCCCATTCCAAGGTGATATAAAATAAATAATTAATTAGGTAAATTCATAGTTTTAATTCTAACTTGATTTATTTTATTTAACATTTAAGGCAAATGTGATTTCCAAACACAAGATAAGTTCCATATCTCTTTAATTACATAATTGAAAGCATTAAATTTATTTAGCAGTTATTATTTGGCAACAAAGCCACCGCTGGAACTGCCGCCTATTACCAAGTAGAAGAGTTACCACTCTAAATTTCATTGATGGAAGCCGGCTAACAAAAGCCTGCATCCATTTCGGGTTGCCAATTTCCAGCATTTAAGTAGCAGTCTGTAGCGATACGCTATATTGTCTGTGGCTCATTCATCTCTTAAGCATTTTTAAATTGACTATAGTTAAAGCACAGAAGATACATTGTTTTATCTTCTGTGGTTGAAGCACTAATAAATTTTCATTTTACGTCAGACATCATCAAAGGTATTTCAAAAACTTTTTTAACACTATTTGCCGATAACTGAACCATTCAGGATATATATTTTTGTAATATTGACTCAAATATATCCCCGCTTCACTTTTTCGGATAAATATTTGTAGTTAATTTATAAATTAGTAAAAATTAATAACGAAACCGTTAAATTTAGCCAGTCATCTATGTAACTTTCATTTTCCTCTCATGATGTTATTTGGGTTGTTGGAAAATAAAAATTGTTTGCACGAGAAAGGCAATAAATTTGTCTCATCCCAGTCGTAAAAACTTGAAACCCATGCGAGATAAAATAAATGCATTATTACCGGTGTCCAAGTTTCGACCGCAGGCCCCCTCGAAAACCCGTAGTGGGGCTGTTCGGCCGGCATATTTGGAGAATGGTGTCGCGAACGGATCGCCAAGACCGGTGGACTCGACATCCAACATTCACCAGCTGTTGGTGAGGAACTTAGACCGTTGAATCCGCGCTCTGATACCGACCGATTGAGCTTAACGTGAGTTTGATTCGTGTGTTGTTTTTGTGTCGGATCTAAGAAAATACTTATACAGGGTGTTGTGGGTGGACTGTACCTTTTGCGAATGCGTCTTCGTTTGAGGCAGGGTTTACCATCAAATTTCAAGCAATAGGTAAATACAAGATTAATTTATGTTTTCGTATCGTGTTCTAGTTAAGATTTTGTTTGTGAAAGCTTGCAAAATTGGTAATTTTGCAAGTTTCCTTTTTATTGATGGACGAAGGATGTAAATGTAAAGGCATAATAATTAGTTTCCTGTGTCTTGGTATTTTGTGAATTGTTAAGGTCATCTTTCGTTAAATCAGTTGAAATAAAAATTAAAGTTATTGAATATCCAAATTCCTGTTTACGTTCACTTTCTCAAAGTGTGTCTAGGAAAAGAAACTGGATTCCAATATTTATTCTAATAAATAATCATAAAAATACTTCAGATTTACGAAAGAGTCGCCAGTAAGTAAATTCTTGACCTCCTGTCAAATTATTGAATAGTTTGGTTAGAAAAAGTCAAAATATTTTAAAACGCAAATGAAACTTAAAAAAAATTATGCTGTTAATTTTCAAGTTTGCCTAAAGATTTATTTGTTTGATGTATTATGTTATACAGAATGTCGTGTTACACCTGAATCTTTTTAATTTTCTTAAAAATAAGTACCGACTGTTTTTTAACTTTCCAACCCTCAATCTTACGACAAACGGAGCTAAGCATGAGTGACCAAAATACACTTGGGGCAGTTAAGCAATGTAACGTACGTATTTTACCATATTTTTTTTAATTAAGGCAAGTTCTTGTAGCATTAAACTCAAATTATGTTCTGAAACAAAACCAATTTGTCAACACCTAAAAATTCCTGTAACAAAGGAATATATACCTGCTTAATTCAGCTCCGGTTATTTTGATAAACAACACAATGGTTGAGGTCGACGAACAGTGGAATATTTTACATGCAAATTGAAAAATTGTACCAGTGTGCTATAAATAGTACCACCCACGAGTTGATCTTTGTTGGAATCATCCTGAACGAAGTTTCCATCAAATTCTTTCTTCGATGAATATGAGTTCGACACCTTCTTAGACAAACATTCATATTGCTTTGACACGAATTCGATTGTTCAAAACACTATCTCATTGTTTTGACTCCGGACACAATGTGTAGTCCACTGCATACAATGTAGAAAATATAAAGTTGATCTGTTGAAAAAACGGTAACTATTTCATTTATAAATATTAATGAGGGGCAGTGTAAATACCATTGCAAATGGCAATGTAAATACCATTTGAAAAATGCGGCAACTCCCCTTTATAACAGTTAACTATACGACTTTATAAAACCTGAATACTTGTGCGCGTTTTTAACTGTAAAGCTGATAATTTTTATGTGTGCAATAATTACGTAATGAATAATCCGATTAGTGTCCGCAAAATGAAAACATTTTGTGAAATATTACTGAGTACAATTGTAGCACTGTTTGGCTACCAGTTTTTTTTTTATAGAGAAAACATGGCTAATTACAATTTGTGCCATACATTTCAAGAAAGTTGTGATTGAACTGGAGTATTTAACATTACTGCAATTTTGTGAAATGTATTCTACTTTCCATTTTGCTAAAAGATACGCATAATTGTGTTAAATTAATCCCAATATAAATAAAGTCTAAGATTTTCATTATTTTACAGAGTTTATAGAAATTGTGTTGGTGTATTGAAAAAATATTTACCGCAGATACTTAAAATTTATTTAAACAATATTAACATTGCTTAAAGTTGCAAACGGAACACACATATAGGCGGAAAAATAGTATAATCTTAAAATAAAGGATAGTGTTCAAATGCAGTCGAACGAATTTAGAATTGTTTGATCTTGCAACTAACAAATTAGAAATTTTGAAAATTGTATATTTTCTATTTTCTATTTTAAATATATATTTCATTACTAACTTTTCAGGTGTCAAAGAGCATTGTTTAACTTCATTTGATGAATGTACTTAAATTAGCTTAATACATTTAATATGAAGTAAACATATATTTTCTAATTATTTGGGCAAATACCATTTCAATAGTTTGTTTTGAACGAAATTCTTCATAACCAGGATGATGCCAAGCACAGCACTTAATACATCCGCATATGTGACAGAACTGCAGCATACTGATACTAACTACTACTGTAATACTTATGATAGCGACGCAAAAGCCACAAATATAAAAAACCCTTTCTTCGAGAGTCTTCAAAATCTGATATGTCCTAATATTTTTGAAAAAATGTCAATAAAGTATTTTAAATAAGTACAGAGTGTCCCGAAATTCATGCAACAAAATTTGGTCATAGATTCTTAAGACAAATTTAGGGAACCCGTATTCTTTCTTTTTGCTAACTAGCCCCCTCTTTCGGAGTTACAGCCCCCTGAAATCTACCCCTAAGAAGTATTTTTTATATTTCAAAACCATGTTGTA